TTCCTCATCCATAAGAGTGAGTGAGTTAAGTTTTACGCCACTTTTAGCAATATTCCAGCAATATCACGGCGGGGGACACCAGAAATGGGCTTTACACATTGCACCCATGTGGGGAATTGAACCCGGTTCATCCAACGATTTAACCACTAGGCTACCCCACCACCCCATATCCATAAGAAATCTCTGCTAACAGTAAGACTAGACAAGCAGGACATGCTGGTAGACGTATGTACAAGAGAGAGTATGCATAACATTGGGATTATTTAAAAAAAAAAAATAACATGGTTATGCATATATTGAAAAGTGTTTTGATTGTGACTTACAAGTACATCATTGTGAATGTGTTGCCAAAACACCACAGATATTGTACACATGTGTGACTTTACATGATTGGAGACAAACACATTAATGAGATACTGGTGATCTTTTGATCCCCAAAAGTAAATGTGGAGACATATATGAGGTACTGGAGATCTATTGTTCCCCAGAAGTAAATGGGGAGACATATATGAGGTACTGGAGATCTATTGTTCCCCAGAAGTAAATGGGGAGACATATATGAGGTACTGCAGATCTATTGTTCCCCAGAAGTAAATGGGGAGACATATATGAGATACTGGAGATCTTCTGATCCCCAAAAGTAAATGTGAGACATATATGAGGTACTGCAGATCTATTGTTCCCAAGAAATAAATGGGGAGACATATATGAGGTACTGCAGATCTATTGTTCCCCAGAAGTAAATGGGGAGACATATATGAGGTACTGCAGATCTATTGTTCCCCAGAAGTAAATGGGGAGACATATATGAGGTACTGCAGATCTATTGTTCCCCAGAAGTAAATGGGGAGACATATATGAGGTACTGCAGATCTATTGTTCCCCAGAAGTAAATGGGGAGACATATATGAGGTACTGGAGATCTATTGTTCCCCAGAAGTAAATGGGGAGACATTATGACTGACTGACTGAGTTTGAGTTTGGTTTTACGCTTTTAGCAATATTCCAGCAACATCCCGGCGGGGGACACCAGAAATGGGCTTCACACATTGTGCCCATGTGGGGATTCGAACCCGGGTCTTCGGCGTGGAGACATTATGAGGTACTGGGATCTATTGTTCCCTAGAAGTAAATGGGGAGACATATATGAGGTACTGGAGATCTATTGTTCCCCAGAAGTAAATGGGGAGACATATATGAGGTACTGCAGATCTATTGTTCCCCAGAAGTAAATGGGGAGACATATATGAGATACTGGAGATCTTCTGATCCCCAAAAGTAAATGTGAGACATATATGAGGTACTGCAGATCTATTGTTCCCAAGAAATAAATGGGGAGACATATATGAGGTACTGCAGATCTATTGTTCCCCAGAAGTAAATGGGGAAACATATATGAGGTACTGCAGATCTATTGTTCCCCAGAAGTAAATGGGGAGACATATATGAGGTACTGCAGATCTATTGTTCCCCAGAAGTAAATGGGGAGACATATATGAGGTACTGCAGATCTATTGTTCCCCAGAAGTAAATGGGGAGACATATATGAGGTACTGGAGATCTATTGTTCCCCAGAAGTAAATGGGGAGACATTATGACTGACTGACTGAGTTTGGTTTTACGACGCTTTTAGCAATATTCCAGCAACATCCCGGCGGGGGACACCAGAAATGGGCTTCACACATTGTGCCCATGTGGGGATTCGAACCCGGGTCTTCGGCGTGGAGACATTATGAGGTACTGGGATCTATTGTTCCCTAGAAGTAAATGGGGAGACATATATGAGGTACTGGAGATCTATTGTTCCCCAGAAGTAAATGGGAAGACATATATGAGGTACTGGAGAACTATTGCTTACCAACAATAAATGACGAGATCATAATTATATGGGGTACTGGAGATCTATTACTTCTGAGAAGGTCTGGGGAGACATATATGAGGCACTGGAGATCTATTGTTTCTGAGAAGATCTGGGGAGACATATATGAGGTACTGGAGATCTATTGTTTCTGAGAAGATATGGGGAGACATACATGAGGTACTGGAGATCTATTGTTCCCCAGAAGTAAATGGGGAGACATATATGAGGTACTGCAGATCTATTGTTCCCCAGAAGTAAATGGGGAGACATATATGAGATACTGGAGATCTTCTGATCCCCAGAAGTAAATGAGGAGACATATATGAGATACTGGAGATCTTCTGATCCCCAAAAGTAAATGTGAGACATATATGAGGTACTGCAGATCTATTGTTCCCCAGAAGTAAATGGGGAGACATATATGAGGTACTGCAGATCTATTGTTCCCCAGAAGTAAATGGGGAGACATATATGAGGTACTGCAGATCTATTGTTCCCCAGAAGTAAATGGGGAGACATATATGAGGTACTGCAGATCTATTGTTCCCCTGAAGTAAATGGGGAGACATTATGACTGACTGACTGAGTTTGGTTTTACGCCGCTTTTAGCAATATTCCAGCAACATCCCGGCGGGGGACACCAGAAATGGGCTTCACACATTGTGCCCATGTGGGGATTCGAACCCGGGTCTTCGGCGTGGAGACATTATGAGGTACTGGAGATCTATTGTTCCCTAGAAGTAAATGGGGAGACATATATGAGGTACTGGAGATCTATTGTTCCCCAGAAGTAAATGGGGAGACATATATGAGGTACTGGAGAACTATTGCTTACCAACAATAAATGACGAGATCATAATTATATGGGGTACTGGAGATCTATTACTTCTGAGAAGGTCTGGGGAGACATATATGAGGCACTGGAGATCTATTGTTTCTGAGAAGATCTGGGGAGACATATATGAGGTACTGGAGATCTATTGTTTCTGAGAAGATATGGGGAGACATATATGAGGTACTAGAGATCTATTGTTCCCCAGAAGTAAATGGGGAGACATATATGAGGTACTGGAGAACTATTGCTTACCAACAATAAATGACGAGATCATAATTATATGGGGTACTGGAGATCTATTACTTCTGAGAAGGTCTGGGGAGACATATATGAGGCACTGGAGATCTATTGTTTCTGAGAAGATATGGGGAGACATATATGAGGTACTGGAGATCTATTGTTTCTGAGAAGATATGGAGAGACATATATGAGGTACTAGAGATCTATTGTTTCTGAGAAGATATGAGGGACAAATAATGGGAACTGGAGATCTATTGTTCTGCAAAAACAGATGGTGAGAAACATTGGATAGTGTAGATCTTTTGATTCCCAGAACAGACTGGGAGATAGACATAATTAAGGTTATGAAGACTTCAGAACTTTAAGGATCACATATATTCATTGATGTTACCTTCAGGAGACTTGAACATACTGAACGTTTTACGAGATGGCTTTTATAATCTCAACTATTGATTCATTCAGATAAAAAGTAAGGTGAAATGATATATTTCCACTGAAACTCACTTACAGGAAATATATTTCTATTTCATGCAAAATATTTAAATTTGAATCATGTGAACTATTTGAATACTTGAATTGATAATTGACAAACAAATATCTTGAAATTCATGGATGTACAAAAAATCTCTCTTGTTTCAATAAAAATGACACATAAATGTAAATGTAAATGTTACAAAACAAATGATGTTTTCAATTTTAAAAATCCATTTCCATATAACCAGATATTTTATTGTTAAGATTTTGTATCTTAAACTGTTTGTGCACAAAAAAACATGGGAATGTTAGTGGCATATTTAATATATTCAAGCAGATGAAATATAAACTGAAAATTAGCTCTATGAATAATAGATTTCCCATCAGGGCCTCAGATAATTATGATAAAAAGCAGTTTAACATTATTTTAACAAATGTCTTTATCAAAATTGATTTAATTTCTACTTTCTTTCCAACATTAAAGGTAATCATGATATGTTTCCCTAACTGAATAACATTGTCAAAATTCTCATTAAAGAAAACTTGCAATACATTTAGAGTTGTTTGAATGTAATAAATGTTATGATAAAACCTGATCTGTTATGTGCTTGTTTGTCCTTGTAACTCACTGTCTCTGTCCATTGTTTTAATTTATAGAATAAACCAGAGTAACTGTAATAATTATTCCCTGTATTTTCAATATGGTGGTTTACAAAATGTTTTACCAATCATTCAATGAAGGAATATATGATTGTTTGTTAAACATTCTAGAAGTTGGTGAGTCAATAATGAAGTATAGGGTTGTATGCTTCATTATGAAAATATGATTCCTGATTAGTATAACTGGTAATTAAAACCAAACTGATCTGTTCCATTATCTGTATAATTGTCAAACAATATGGAAAGAGAATTGGTTTGGAATCTTACAATAAGGATTTGTTTGCATGTTATTCATGTTCCATACAAGTAGCAGTGTGGACATCTCATCTGCTTTCACATTTCTCCTAATTGTCATTGGCAGTGGGGTAGCATTCGCTCATTATGCCGAATATCCAGGTTTGATTCCCCACATGGGTACAATGTGTGAAGCCCTTTTCTGGTGTCCCCAGCTGTGATTTTGCTGTAATATTGCTTAAAGCGATGTAAAATAAAACTTACTCACTCCTAATTATCAATTGTCATAAAGTCAGGTAAACAATTGTTTTTCAAAAGTCATTCTCTTTTTGGTAATTTTAGTGGGTTTTTGTTGGTCAGTTGAATACAAAGAATCAATATGATGTGGAGTGGGTTTGGTGGAAGGGTGGGTGAGTGAGTGAGAGCCTAGGAAGGACAGTCCTATAATCAGATGGTCCCAGATGGTTTTGGAGTGATTCTAGTTGCAGGAAACAATGTGTAACGTAATGCTTATAACTAACTGATGTAATAAACTGGGATTTTATTGTGACATCCACTTGCTCTCCATGTTAGTCGAAATGCATATACAGTCAAGTCTCAATAATCTGACATCATCTGTTGCACAGCAAATTGTCGGATTAACGAGTATGTCAGATTATCGAATTCTGTGTAATGTCATTCGCACATATCATTTGAACTTTTACCTTGAAAACATTTGTAATCAAACGATTCTGAATGCTATTTTCTGAGCGATTGCTTCCAAGTGATTCACATGGAGGAAGCCATTATTCACAACAGTGAGTAAACAGTCGCTGAAAATAGAGTTTTTGTCAATATTCAAGGATGTCATCTTGCGGAAATATAAACTAATAGTAACCATGTCATCACAAACCCCTAAGCGTATATGCTGCAGGTCAAATATCTGTGTTTTATGCAGATTTTCATTTGCTGAGAGATCAGTGTCAGCGACCTGGGAAGGGAAAATCCAAAAACATTTTGTAACCCTAAATAGTAGCCGTTGTCTGATTGGTCAAATCCATTCAGCCATGACGCGTTTAATTGGACGGTCATAGGTCACTCAAAAGTTTGCTGACGCAACCTTCTACTAGGGTTTGTTAGAGTCAATATAGCAGTGTAACGAATATTACTGAGCCTAAGTTTACTTAGACTGATAATGTCCTACAGTTAGATCAAACTAAATTTAGTTCCTTTTTAGTTCTACAACCATATTATACTGGTACCGCATACAGATATATCACATGAGGAGAAATAATTACTTTATGCATTGTACCCATGTAATAGAAAAGTATAATATTTTATGGATAACAACTTCTTTATTTATTATGATGTGACGTTTTGGTATAGCTTCTTATACCGTTATCACATCATAATAAATAAAGAAGTTGTTATCCATAAAGTATTATACTTTTCTATTATCCATCAACTTCTAAAATGCCAATCAAACAGATTGTACCCATGTAGAGCATCAAACCCAGGACTTTGGCATGATGAACAAATGCTTTACCCACTAGGCTATGCATCAGCCTAGCCACACAAAAACACAAATTCAACATCATTAAAGTGGATAAGTTCAATACCTTTACCCTGACAATGTTTGCATAGAACAAGGCTAACAATGCCTGCATCTGATACTGATCAACTGAGTCCTGAACAGCGTCTATCTTCTAAATCAGGCTTTGTATCACAAATCAGGATAAACTTCCACTTTTGACAGAAATTCTCATTAACCTGAAATTTAGTTTGTGGCCTGTCTGACCTTCTTTGGAATTTGTTTACAGAAAAGCAATCTAACAACAGTTTGTTGTAATTTCGCCCACAACTGGAGTGGAAATAGAAAGCATTGATTCTGTTTGAAGCATGGCATCATCACTCACATGAAATATGTCCCTGCCGTGTTTGGTAACCCAGAACCTCGCAATCAGTCCGCTCCACTAGGTAAGGAAAGTGGCTTGCGGTCAAAACACAAGGAGTTGTGATGAAGTGTCATGGTGTATATTGTTCACATACAGACAACCCTGTTATGAATATCAGTGTTAACTTTGTTCAGGTATGTTATCTTGTCCTCTTACAGTACATATCGCAGATTGTCGGCTAGCTGATAAACTTGTAACTTAAGCAGTGTTTGGAAGGAGAGTTTGGTCTGAGGAAAATAGATTGATAGAAATGTTGATGAAAAAACATACTTGACATAGATGTATGTCGGCTACAGGACAAAAGAAACAGAGCACATCACACTCTGGAGTCCGTCTGGGTCCTTAAATGATCATCTTGGCTCTAAAGGTTGCTGTCGGGAGACCACCTATGAAAAGGATACCCAATTCAAGAGAGGAAAATGTACCAATAGAGTCTCTTATGGCAGGCAAATATATTCACATGCTAGAAGGATCCCCTCATGGTGTACATGACAGTGTCCACAGAACCATATTTCCGCATGTTTGCAAATCTACGAATCTTTGTTTTCAATACAATCTCAGACACAAGGAAGATTGTTGACATCATGACTCATCAGAAGGGCCATCTGAGAGTCGGACACACAAGAAGAACAATCTATTGGAGGCCATTTGAGATACAAGAAGATTTGAGGTATGGGTGGACTATTTTGTCCACGGCACCATATCACTGTAATTTTGCAAATCTACAAATCTTTGGCACAAGAAACATCACCTATTGACAGACAGTCTTAGACTGCTGACAATATGACACAACATAGGGTCTTCAATTGGGGGCCAGCTGACACAAGAAGGATCAACTATTTCTGACAGTCTCAGGCACAAGAAGGACAATCTACTGGAGACAATCTTAGGCACAGGAAGGTTAATCTATTACAGACAGCCCATGGCAGAAGAAGAATAATCTATTACTGACAATATGAAACACAAGAAGGATCATCAAGTGCAGACTATGTGAGACTCAAGGTGGACCATATCTTGTAAACATCCTGAGGCACAAGAAGGATCATCAAGTGCAGACTATGTGAGCCTCAAGGTGGACCATATCTTGTAAACATCCTGAGGCACAAGAAGAATCATCAAGTGCAGACTATGTGAGACTCAAGGTGGACCATATCTTGTACACATCCTGAGGCACAAGAAGGATCATCAAGTGCAGACTATGTGAGACTCAAGGTGGACCATATCTTGTAAACATCCTGAGGCACAAGAAGGATCATCAAGTGCAGACTATGTGAGACTCAAGGTGGACCATATCTTGTAAACATCCTGAGGCACAAGAAGGATCATCAAGTGCAGACTATATGAGACTCAAGGTGGACCATATCTTGTAAACATCCTGAGGCACAAGAAGGATCATCAAGTGCAGACTATGTGAGACTCAAGGTGGACCATATCTTGTAAACATCCTGAGGCACAAGAAGGATCATCAAGTGCAGACTATGTGAGACTCAAGGTGGACCATATCTTGTAAACATCCTGAGGCACAAGAAGGATCATCAAGTGCAGACTATGTGAGACTCAAGGTGGACCATATCTTGTAAACATCCTGAGGCACAAGAAGGATCATCAAGTGCAGACTATGTGAGACTCAAGGTTGATTGTCTATTCCAGACAACCTAATGAAAGGTCCCACTTCTCTGAGATGCCCAATATGCAGCCATGATTAATACAGTTTATGTGCATTTCTTTATCTCACACAGATCAGGAAACATGTAACCTGACCATTTCGCATGCTTGTCTTACATATTACATACATCTGATTTATCTGACATAATTGGATATTATGCATATATTTGTCACATTTAATCTTAGAAAATGAGGGATTTTATCAACTAAAAATCGCCACATTATTACTTGTTTTGTAAATAATGTGTAAGTCAATCTGTTGATAAACAGAAAATTATTTAAATGGGAAACCTCATCTCTAAATTGAAAATATTGAGTTGACAAAACAAACGCATTTATTCTTAAATACAACTTTCCTAACGCTACATTTTAATACACATTACCCAAAAGTAACTGAATTTAGCAAAATTGTTGAAAGTTTTGATAGGACAGCTAATTTTCAAATTTGAAGAAAAGCCATTTAGACACAAAGGCAATACTGACGTTTTGCTCTTTAGTATCACAGTAATGCAGTATGACAAAATTATGATGTAATGGAAAAACTGCAGTGCAAAATTCAGCAATTACAGGGATGAAAACATAATGCCCTTATGGGCTAAGATAAAAGCTTGAACACACAAACAGCAATAATTCAGTCAAAAAGATATTAAAATGGTATCAATATCAAATTAAAATGTAAAATGATCTGTGTAATGGCGTTTCAATGTGCTCCATGTGGCAACATGGTTTTGAATTTGATTTGAATTCCAAAGAACAACTTTTAATGACATGGTTACAAGAATTATCCACACTTTGTTTGTATGATAAATGCTGGTTTTGAGGGAAAACATATATTATGGATGGAAAGTAATAAGAAATATATCATCTGGAGATGTTTCACAAAGTGATCATTTTACTTCACTGTCCTGAAGCATAGTTTAAAGCTGATTTTCCTCCTGTGAGGTAGGATATGCTCTCTGTTCCGAATATTTGATATTGATTCATCATACACATACTTATGATATTGCCTGAATCCTACAATGGACAGGATTTTCCCAGGAGACCGAGGTGGTCATCCCCAGCTTTGAATGCATCAGCATGTATACATTATTCAAATTTCATGGAAAGTCACATTTTATTACAGTAAGCTTTAAGTTTCACCATCAAAGGCTTGGTCAAAACCCGCCTGAAACTTTATGGATTGCATTCTAATGAAATTACTCAGGTTCCCTTTTGATGTGTGACTAAGTGAATGACTGGGTGGGTATGTTTTTTTGCCGCTTTTAGCAATATTCCAGCAATATCATGGCATGGGGAACACCAGAAATGGGCTTCACACATTGTACCCAAGTGGGGACTCGAACCCGGATGTTCAGCGTGATGAGCAGATGTTTTAACCATTAGCTTACCCTACCGCCCCTGTGTGAATAAGTTAGGATAAGAATTACTCCCAGTGGAATCCTTGCTAAAGAAAGAAAATTATCAGTAGAGCCACTATAGCAGAGCATGCTCTTGTTGGACAACAGTGTTAGAATCTACACCGAAACAATGCTTCTCATTGCAAATAAAGAAGTTGTTCATCTATATATCTCAGCCTTAATTAGTAATCCAACTTTTATATGCCTCTCAAACAAGTTATGGTGTGTGATGCTATTCCACACTATGAACAAAGTAAGTTTTAACACCTTACTCAATGGCACTTCAATTAATGGATTGGGTGGTCACACTTGGTTGATAGTGTGGCCTCATATCCCAATGATGTAAATTATTGGTCATGATACTGTTCACAAGATTGTCTGTACCGCACATGATTGTTTACAGGCCACCATTGTATGGCAGGAGTATAGCTGAGAGGGGTAAGGTGACAAATATACTCACACTTTTTGTAAACACTCATGTCATCACTGATCTTCAGTCAGCCGGTCATATCATTGTTGTCACTATTTTGTCTGTTGTAATCTGTTAATGAGATAATCTAGACTGACAATTCTCTGATGTTGACATTTTAAATTTATTTCTGTATGTGGATGATGTGGACATAATGTCACTGAAGCTGTCTGTATAAGTTCAAGGTTTGATTTGAAAGTTGGTCAAAAGAAGTCTGTCTAGGTCTCCCCTAATTGCCTTTGGTTAATCATCTGTGATGAATTGTTATCACATGTCTAGGTCCGGTGTAATATTGCATACCTGTTATTCGATTCATGCCAGTTTCTCTACAAAATTGTGACTGGTGCCTCAACTGACCCACTCAAGCAACTGATATTTAACCAGTCTACCATACATTTTCTCAGTGAAAGATTAGGTTTCCAGTAAGCTGTATGGGAATGTATTATTTGAAAAAGGATACATTATAAGTTGTTCTTTTTAACTTATGATCTGACAAAGTTTATGTATGTTCTGTAAATAGTCAATCACTTAAGTCAACACAAGTCCACATCAGTTCCTACTCCATGCAGTCAACACAAGTCCACCTCAGTTCCTACTCCATGCAGTCAACACAAGTCCACATCAGTTCCTACTCCATGCAGTCAACACAAGTTTTTGATATCATAGCATACGGAATAGACATCATATTTTTACATGATTAAATATTGAGGTAAATAACACAGAAATAGGATCAAATTGGATCAGTCACTATACCATCCAAACATTTGAAAATCTGAAAAAGCCTACACTGCTGGGATACTTTATTACAATCAGACAAGAACTACCGGGATCTTTTCAAATAACCACATCTGATGGGCATCCTCCCTTCCTAATGTCCCACTGATTAGGTTAAAGAAATTCTGCCAAGGTGGACAGTAGCCCAGTCCCTGTGTCCGTCATGGTCGAGGGAGCAGGGGCTGACCAGTTTGCAGCTAGGTTTGGTAACTAGACTGTTGGCGAGAAACATTAATCGCTCTGGATCAGTGGCCCATAACACCAGAAAACTCCATGCAGTCAACTCCATACAGTCAACACCAGTTAATGCCAGTCAACTCCATACAGTCAACACCAGTAAGCTTTCAACAGTCAACACCAGTTAATGCCAGTCAACTCCATACAGTCAACACCAGTTAATGCCAGTCAACGCCAGTTAATGCCAGTCAACTCATACATCAACACAGTTAATCAACTCCAGCTCCATACCACCAGTTAATGCCAGTCAACTCCATACAGTCAACACCAGTTAATGCCAGTCAACTCCATACAGTCAACACCAGTTAATGCCAGTCAACTCCATACAGTCAACACCAGTTAATGCCAGTCAACTCCATACAGTCAACACCAGTTAATGCCAGTCAACTCCATACAGTCAACACCAGTTAATGCCAGTCAACTCCATACAGTCAACACCATTAGCTTTAAACAGTCAACACCAGTTAATGCCAGTCAACTCCATACAGTCAACACCAGTTAATGCCAGTCAACTCCATACAGTCAACACCATTAGCTTTAAACAGTCAACACCAGTTAATGCCAGTCAACTCCATACAGACAACACCAGTTAATGCCAGTCAACTCCATACAGTCAACACCAGTTAATGCCAGTTAAACAGTCAACACCAGTTAATGCCAGTCAACTCCATACAGTCAACACCAGTTAATGCCTCCATACAGTCAACACCAGTTAATGCCAGTCAACTCCATACAGTCAACACCAGTAAGCTTTAAACAGTCAACACCAGTTAATGCCAGTCAACTCCATACAGTCAACACCAGTTAATGCCAGTCAACACCAGTTAATGCCAGTCAACTCCATACAGTCAACACCAGTTAATGCCAGTCAACTCCATACAGTCAACACCAGTTAATGCCAGTCAGCACTCAGTTAATACAGTCAACACCAGTTAATGCCTTTCCATACAGTTAGCTTTAAACACCAACACCAGTTAATGCCAGTCAACTCCATACAGCCAACACCAGTTAATGCCAGTCAACACCAGTTAATGCCAGTCAACTCCATACAGTCAACACCAGTTAATGCCAGTCAACTCCATACAGTCAACACCAGTTAATGCCAGTCAACTCCATACAGTCAACACCATTAGCTTTAAACAGTCAACACCAGTTAATGCCAGTCAACTCCATACAGTCAACAGTCAACACCATTAGCAAACAGTCAACACCAGTTAATGCCAGTCAACTCCATACAGTCAACACCAGTTAATGCCAGTCCATACTCCATAAACAGTCAACACCAGTTAATGCCAGTCAACTCCATACAGTCAACACCAGTTAATGCCAGTCAACTCCATACAGTCAACACCAGTTAATGCCAGTCAACTCCATACAGTCAACACCATTAGCTTTAAACAGTCAACACCAGTTAATGCCAGTCAACTCCATACAGTCAACACCAGTTAATGCCAGTCAACTCCATACAGTCAACACCAGTTAATGCCAGTCAACTCCATACAGTCAACACCAGTTAATGCCAGTCAACTCCATACAGTCAACACCAGTTAATGCCAGTCAACACCAGTTAATGCCAGTCATACACACCAGTTAATGCCAGTCAACTCCATACAGTCAACACCAGTTAATGCCAGTCAACTCCATACAGTCAACACCAGTTAATGCCAGTCAACTCCATACAGTCAACACCAGTTAATGCCAGTCAACTCCATAAATGCCAGTCAACACCAGTTAACAGTTAATGCCAGTCAACACCAGTTAAACACCAGTCAACAACCAGTCAACACCAGTCAACAACCAGTCAACAACCAGTCAACACCAGTCAACAACCAGTCAACAACCAGTTAACACCAGAAAAATCCATGTATTCAACAACTGTTTTTTCCAGACATTATTCGACAAGACCAGTGAAATCTCCGCAATCAAATTTGTGTCAGTGATCTATATTTTGGAAACCTATTTGTATACCATCCTTTAGACATTTTATTCTTTTTTATGACCACTATGTCCAATACAAAATCATAAACTGTCTCCCTGTCCCTGATACTGATCAACACTACCGTGAATACATTTCGTTCTTTCACCAGTACTCTGTGGGTGCATGGCTTTCAATTGCTACCATTACCACTGGATAATTCTGTAAAACTAAATATAATGATAAATGAAATGTGGGGAATTTAACAATTCATTACTTTTCTATGTACTGACCATTTTTTGACAAATATATAAAAACCAACACCGACAACAACGTGTTTGGAGAAAAAATTCTGCAAAGCAACTAATAAAAGTCAGAGTGGGTGGTTAGGGAAACAAATGGGCTAAGTTTGTTTTTTATTTAACTGTAAAAATCACAAGTGTAGAGCTCAAGGTCTACACTCGGTCATTTGGGAATTGTGACTTTTGTTTCATTTTCACATAAAAACTAATACATGTATAATATAATAACAATTATCAGGGCGGTGGGGTAGCCTAGTGGATAAAGCATTCGCTCGTCACGCCGAAGACCCGGGTTCGAATCCCCACATGGGCACAAATGTGTGAAGCCCATTTCTGGCGTCCCCCGCCGTGATATTGCTTGAATATTGCTAAAGGCGAAAACTATACTATACTCACTCACTAATGACAATTATCATTACTGCATGTTTTGTTTTTGTTATACCACTGTTAAACCAAGTTGCACTGTCTTAATTGTTTGTTTTAGAAATACCATCTTTATGAAGCAATGTGATGTGATTTATAGAGATGTCAAATGGTGGCATAATCATTTAGATCGCTTCTGGCAATGCAATTCTGAATGTTAATGTTCTTGCTTTAAGAGTTTGAGAGTACTTTGGAGTTGAGAGGAAATAAGGCTTATTGCTGTATTACATTCAAGGTTAGTGCACATACATACCAAGCAGTATGTGTGAGAGGGTATGTTAGAGTGTGCATGTTCGAGTGTGTGCATGTGTGTGTGCATGCATGTGTGGGGTTATAGCACTCACACATTGAGATACCATGCTGCCTTTTTAACATTGATACCCATTCAGGTAACAAAGCACCATCTTTTAATGTCTTGGAATTAGTATTTAACTGAAGCTTAACATGCATCAGATGAGTCCCAACTCACAGCTTATGACTCATCTCCAGGCTACAATTACATTCATCTCCCACCTGGAGTCTAAGAACCACCCTGTTGAACAGTATACTGAAATTTCCTTGATTTATACCATTAGAACTCGTAGTATTAGCATTTGAAATAAGATTCCGTTTTTGTAATCCACACCAGTAATAATTAGAAGTATTGAGTTGTACTGAAGTCCCTTCTTGGGGACATGAAACATAATGACACAGGAGTATATAGGAAACAGTATTAGCCAGAACTAATCTCTCCTACAGCATTCAGTTGTAAGAAATTACCTTGTAAAAATTCATTTCAAAGCTGAATTTACTGTGAGGAAAGTAGGAGTTTCATATTTCTTGAAATGAGAATGGTGACATAACCTGTTTATGAAATGTTGATAAAAAAGTACAAAATATCCTGATTACAAAGCCTTTCCAGACTATAAGCCCTGATTCAATTCTTCTAGCTTGGAAGTACAAAGTTTCTACTCATCAAATTACACAGTGTCAGGTTTCTTCAGACTTCAATTCCAGATAATTCATACATTTTGTCTTTTGTACTGAAGTAATCAACAAAATGCTCAGAGTGACCTTTGTCAAAGGGAGTTAATAATGTTCATCCAGTATCTCCGTTATCTCTGAGTGTCAGGTTGCTTCTGACAATTTTATCAGATGCCGTTTCCTTAACACAAGACAACAAGAAGGATTAATGCAGTTTTTCGACAATTAACTTAATGACAATTAGATCCATGATCATCAAGCACGAAACGGAGATCATTATCAGATCATAATTAAATATTTTAACAGTAATCCACTAACAAGCGATTACCCCCACTGCTTCTGTCTAATGCATTCTAGATGGTCACATGCAATCTACACGATGAATAAATGCAGGTTTCAGACTCAAAGTCATCAATCACACTGACAGGTCCATTATTCTATTATACCATGACCAACAGGAAACAATTGATAAGCAGCCATACTTCAGTGCACATGTAAGAACAGACTTGGACCGACTGGGGCCGAAGATTGCCATTTGGTTAATAGCCTTGTAAATCTGCTGTCATTAGGGGAATCAGAGTTATGGATCATGGTAAAGTCCT